CGAAGCCCATAAAGAGATTTGTGCAAGCGACAAACCATGCCTTTTCTTCGAGAGGCGAAACCTGGGGGAAGCTGCATATACACCTCGTCTTGCAGATCTCCATGAAGAAACGCATTGTGGACGTCCATTTGGTGAAGACTCCATCGCTTTATGGCTGCCACGGCAAGTAGAGCCCGGTTGGACACAAGTTTGGCAGTGGGGGCAAACGTCTCTTTGTAGTCAATACCTTCCTTCTGTCGGTTGCCCAGAATAACTAGCCGAGCTTTATAGCGTTCAATACTGCCATCAGATTTGTGTTTAACCTTGTATACCCACTTTGACCCGATTGCCTTTTTATGGGGAGGAAGAGGGACTAGCGACCAAGTGCCATTAGCGGCAAGAGCCTCCAATTCGTCCTTCATGGCCGCCCGCCATTGTGGATGTTTGACCGCCTCTTTAAAGCTAGTGGGTTCCTCATCTGCAGTAATTGCTGCCAAAAAACTTCTGTGTGCAGGAGAAAAATTATCACAGTTAACAAATTTAGTAATGCAGTGTGCCGTACCTGAGGTGGGGATCGGAGTGTCGGAGCAAGCTGGTGTACTATATACCGTGTGCATGACAAAATCACAGAGGTGTGACGGGAGACGACGATCACGTTGACTTCGGCGACTTGGTTCCCCATCTGGAGGAATGTCAGGATTCGGTGGGTGAGGGGGTTCGGAGAGAGTGGTGGGCTGGGTTGTAGTTTCGGGTTGGTTAGATGTGGGAAGGGTTGTAGTTTCGGGTGGTGGTGTGGGTTGTAGGATTTCGGGTGGTGTAGAGGGGCGGCTGATGTTTGGGTTGTTTGGCGTGGGGTGTGGGATGGCAGGAGGGTCGTCATCGACGAACTCGTCCGCCGGTGGCAGGGCAGGGGGTTGGGGCTGATTCAATTGAACGAACGGGAAGGAGTGCTCAACAAATTTAACATCACGACTTACAAAGATTTGGTGGGTTTCAAGGTCTTGCAGTCGCCATCCCTTTTGACCAAAAGGATACCCCAGAAACAGACAGCGACGTGAACGACTGGCAAACTTGTCCCCATGCGTTGCTTGATTGTGTGCATACGCAAGGCAACCAAAAGTGCGTAGGTGAGTGTAGGATGGTTCTTGACCAAAAAGGATAGTATATGGAGTTTTACCTTGTAAGAGATGGGTGGGTGTACGATTGATGAGATATGCTGCAGTAAGGACGCAATCACCCCAGTAAGGTATAGGAAGGTTGGCTTGAAACCGGAGAGCTCGTGCAACATTGAGGATATGTCTATGCTTTCGTTCAACCCTCCTATTCTGTTGGGGAGTGCCAACGCATGAGGACTCAAATATGATCCCTTGAGAGGCAAAGTATGGTTTCATGCATGTGAACTCCGTTCCGTTGTCACTCCGGAGTGTTTTGACTTGAGCATTAAACTGACGCTGAACAAAAGAGAAGAAATTGTGCAAGACACTGGACACCTCATCCTTGTGATTTAAGAGATATACCCAGGTTGCCTGTGAAAAATCATCAACAATGGTCAAAAAATATTTGGCACAAGTACGTGATGGTGTACGGTACCCCCCATAGATCACAATGTATTATTTTAAAAGGAACATCTGATTTATTCAAACTGATGGGAAAAGAATCACGGCATTGTTTAGCCCGAAGGCATACATCACAAGGTAAAACATTTTGAGAAGACGAAGAAGAACAAAAAGGAAGAAAACGACAAATTTCTGGAGAGGGATGACCAAGCCGTTGATGCCATACGGTAAAATCCTTCGTTGCTCGCATAGCACACGCCCTATCATGCACTCCCGGAATAAGATAGTAAAGACCAGCAGTTTGCTCACCCGTTCTAATCACCATCCTCGAGATACAGTCCTGTATTATGCAAAATTTGTTAGTAAACTGGACAATTATTCGTTCCTTTTCAAGAAGTTGAGAGACAGAAATTAGATTGCAGTTGAGTTTAGGCACTAGCAAAACATCGGTCAGTGTTAAAAATTTATTTAACACGACATCTCCCACTTGCGCAGCTTCATCGCTTTCTCCATTAGGTAGTCCGACTTTGCATTCTTTGATACTTCGTATGTTCATCAATCTGCGTCTATCTCCAGTCATATGTTGGCTAGCCCCGCTGTCTATAATCCAAGAACCATTGGTCGTACCTGAAAATTGATTTTCACACTGCACGACAGTCTGACCCGTGAAGTATCCCTCGGCTGTTTTGTCTCTTGTCTGGTCCGTTCTGTCTGCTACTCGGTTTCCAGTGCCGCGTCCGGCAGTGACGCCTCCCCTGCCGCCACGTCTGCCCGGTTGTACGCCGCCACCACGACTGCCTCCTCGGCCGCCTCCCTGCATGCGAGGTCTATCTGCCCACCACTCCGGATAACCTATGATTTGGAAGCAACCACTTATTTCATGTCCCGTTTGTCCACAATGTTTGCATTTAAGATTATTGTCTCGAGTCGGTCTACCGGCAGCCACGGCGAACCCTACTGGGTTTCGCTCCTCTTCAGTTGTTAGCTTCAAAACTCCTTCTTGTTGAGTTATCATAGAGTAAACTCTATTGATCGAGGGGAGAGGCTCCGTGCTGAGAATATTGGAGCGGAGGCTACCATACCCTTCATTATCGAGTCCCATCAAAAATTGATGGACTTTTTCTTCGTCACGTTGTTTTTCCAACAAAGCGGTGAGGCCGCACTTGCATCCTCCACACTTACAAACCGGCACTTTCAACATATCATAAAGCTCATCCCAGATCGCTTTCAGTTTTCCATAATGTTTAACGATTTCCTGGCCGTTTTGCTTGGTGTTGGCGAGTTCTTTCTTTAATTGGTGAATGCGCGGACCATTCGCCACGGAGAATCTGGCCTTTATGTCGTTCCACAAGTCTGCTGCGACCTCCACTTGTGTGATAGAGTTCCGCAGATCCGTCTCAATGGTGTTATAGATCCATGAAACGAGCATCGCGTTCACGATCCACCATTCCTCAACTTCGTCGGCATCATCCTCGGGACAGGGAACGGACCCATCAATGAAGCCGAATTTTCTTTTGGCGCGAAGGGCAATTCTCATAGCCCTTGCCCATTCTTCGTAGTTTCTTCCGGTCAATTTGACCTGCGTAATCAGCAAGCCTGGGGTGTCTACAGACTTCAGATCATATGGACTTGGTTTCACTGCTTTCACGTCATCTTCATCAGCCGTCTTTTTGGACGGTTTTTCCGGCTTGGGTATCTCGGTCATGGCGCTGAATTTTGCTCTGATACCATGTAAAACCGTGCGTGTGATGCAAATAGAGAGAAAGTAATTTTATTATCTGTGTTTGTTGATTGATACAATAAATCTTCCCCCAATATATAGGAAGAAAAGTTCCCCAAAACCAAATAGGAAAAGAAGTCTACCTAAGAAAGAAACCCTAATCTAACTAGGAGTAGAACTCCTAAGCCGTGTGCCTTGTCCTCCAAGGAAGCCCAACCGTAACAGCCTAATACCTCTTTCACTTAGGAAGTACCCATATTCAGTTCCATTAACTCTAATCGTAAAAGATGGTGTAGAAATACAGAAACTTATCCAGTCTATGAACTTTTGAGGGAAATCTTAAGTGTCTGATGATGCGTTTCATGGCATCCCAATTAACTGTATCATAAGCTTTCCTAATGTCGACATTCATGACTTAAGTTCTTCCTTCCATACCCTCTAGCGGAGCACATTATGGAGCAGTTTTCTTCCTTTGACAAATGTCCCCCCGATTATCACTAATGATAAATGGGAGTACAAGTTTCATACCCTAAGCTATTAGTTTAGTGTTAACCTTGTAGACAACATTAAAACAAGCGATGGGCCTATAATCTGCTGGGTGTGAAGCTAGCATCTTCCTCTTTAGGTATAAGTGTGATGCAAGTAGCATTAATACTTCTAACTATGTTTCCTTTGATGAAGAAATCCTTCACATCTTTAGTAAAGAGATCACCCACTTTGCACCATTGTTTCTTAAAAAATCCACTAGAGAAATCATCCGGGCCAGGGCTTTTATGGTCTGAGATATATCATAAAGCCCTTTTGATGTCTTCATCTGTGAAGTCCTTTATGAGGTCAATCTGCTGCTGGATATTCAAATGTGGACCTTCATTGAAAATTTCTATAGGAATGACAGTGACATTCTGAATGGTCCCCTATAAAGTTTTGTAGTAGCTCACAAAGATCTTCCTAATAGCCTCATTCCCATACACCAAGTCTCCTCTATCATTCTTAATATTCATGATGTAATTCATCAAAAAATCTACAAAGTAAAAGATGACATAACTATATTATTTTATCAAATAATTAATGAAAATAAACAAAAAAAATTGAATATAATTTATTTATGTGAATTTGTTTGTAAAGATCATTTTAAGACGTGAGTACAATTCAACAAAAAATCAATTTTGGAAGAGAAATGTACATTCTTAGAGCACCAATAGTGGCGTGTCATTTTAAAGCCATGCCTTGCCACATTGGATTTTACACGCGTGGAACAAGTGAGGCAAGTAGGAGTCACCCCCTTTTCGTGGCATGTGCTAAGCAAAGTTACTCCATTTCTTTTTCTTTTTTTTTTTTGGTTTTGAACAAAGAAGAAACACTTTTAAAATATATTGAATTTTTTATTAATTACATATGTCAAAAAAGGTTAAAAGTGAAGAAAAAAAGGTTAATTGCACTCAGTTTTTTATAGGCAATGTCGTTCCCATTTTATTATTTTTTTTGAAGGAAAAAAATCTACTATTTTTTTAGTATGTAAAAATATTTTATGATAAAATAAATAAGTAAAATATTTTTTGTAATCAAAATATGTCAAGAAAATTCAAAAAAAGATAAAAATAATGACTTGCCACTGCAAGACATGCCACTGCACTCACTTGTCACACGTTAACTGGACTATTTTTCATTGATTGAAATGTTCCACGTCAGCGTGTGTCATTCTATTTTTGCCTCACCATTGCTCGTACTCTTATAGAAGCCGGGATCGAAATTTTGGGTCCACCAAATACTCCTATGATTGTCACATTGTACGTCCAATAATTAATTCATTTTCTGCTTTCAAAAAAATTTAATCATTTTCTTAAAAATAAAAATATCAAAAACTTGACAGCCTCTCAACGATCTCTCCTGAGTTTCTTCAATCTTCATTTCTCTCGTCGTTTGTCGTTCTGTGAGAGGGAGGGTCTCGTCTGAGGATTAAAGCCGGTTAATAATCGGCTTCCCAGGTGAAAGCAGATCCCATTAAAAAAATTTCGCGTATTTATTCGTACTTGTGCTAGCCGGCCTGTAGATTCGCTATTCCTCTTATTTTGCTTTTTTGATTTTGATCTAATCTTTACAATCAGCTTCTACTTTCAGATAGTTTTTTCTCCATCTTTTGTATTTGATCTGCGCTTATGTCCTTCTCATTTTCTTTCCTTGCTGAGTTATCTGATTCCCGGAGGCTCATAATTGAAAAAGAGAGCTGAATTCTTTGAAGGCTTCCTATATATATATGTTCTTGCGTGGATTTGAAATTTCTTTTTTGAGGGGTAGGGTTTCTATTGAAGCTAATAATTACCAGATGTAGTCATATGTTTTGGATCTCTGGTTGAACTTCCAAGGAGTCCTCGTTTTTCACTGTCTCTTTGAGGAATTTCAATTTCCATGTGCTTTAGGATTTAGGGTGTGTTTGGTTGGAGAGCAGGGAATGTGATTTTCTTTTAGTTTGGTTCAAAAATATTTTTTGATGAGGAATACACATTAAAAAAGTGTTTTGCACCAATTGAGCCCCTTCCCTTCCCTCCAATGAAACACACCCTTAGGGTCCTTAAAATAGTTTACTTGCAATTATTGTGAATAAGATTTTTGTACTCCTTGGATCAAGTAATATATGCTTGGAGGAGCTTCAATCTCATTTGGCTCAATTTTCTTTGCGTTTTGGTCGATTGCTTCTTTGTGGACAAAAATGATCCTTTGTTTGTTATGTAACTGTGAATTTGAAATAGGACCTTGTTTCCTCCCTAGAAAGCAGTTTTTCTATGTCAAGGGAAAAGATTTGGTTGATTATATTCTCTCTTGCAGTTGCATAGACCATGATTAAGTTGTTTAAGGTGAAGGAAAAGCAAAGAGAGCTTGCAGAAAATGCAAATGGGAAGCCACCAGTGAAGAAGCAAAGTGCAGGAGAATTGCGTGTGCATAAAGGTAATTTTTTTACTGTTTCCCCTCCTTGTCTGTCTCTGTTTTCATGTGCAATAGGATCTACGTGCAAGCAGACCTGTAAGCAGTATTTGTCCTGGTTGGGTCTTAATCTATTTTCATTTTTTGCACCATTCTGTAGATATAAGCGAGTTAAATCTACCAGAGACATGTAGAATAACGTTCCCTAATGGAAAAGATGATTTAATGAACTTCGAAGTTACCATTAATCCCGATGAAGGTTATTACTTGTAAGTATCCCGTTCTACACGATTTAAGAAAAAAATTGGGAAGCGGAATCTACAATTTTGTTTTGGCTGTTCATTTGTTCTTATGAAAATCCATTGTTCACAGAGGTGGCACTTTCATATTCTCTTTCCAAATCTCTCCTATATATCCTCATGAAGCACCAAAGGTCAAATGCAAGACAAAGGTTTGTTCTAGTGTATTGATAGTTGTAATATCTTTTCTTAGAGTCCCAGTCAGTTAAAAAGGTTGCTTACTTCAGGTTTACCACCCAAATATTGACTTGGAGGGAAATGTGTGTCTTAACATTCTTCGAGAAGACTGGAAACCGGTGTTGAACATTAACACTATAATCTATGGGCTGTATCATCTCTTCACGGTACGATCATATTAATTGTGATTATTTTCCTAAATCTTCTTCACAATAGTCATTTTGACGATGTTTTAGCTTTGGGTGAACAATGGACTAAATTAAATTGGGACATCAAACTTGCCTTGCTTCTTATCTTCTATGAAGTTTTAGTGAATGCATCAATGTATCAAGGGTTCAATGAAAACAACCTCTGTTTCTTACAGGGGTAAGGCTGCGTACATATTGGCCCCCAGACCCTAACGGAGTTAGGAGTATATTGGGTTTGTTGTTGTTGGTGGTGCAAAATGGATTCTTTCCACTTACGATTACAGTGAGAAAAATAACTGTAAAAGTTGTGCACTAAAGGTAGAAAAATGAAAGTTGGGGAGTGCCTAAAGTATTAGAGTATAAAACCTTTTGTTGCTTACAACCACAAGCTTGAGCTTTTGGTTGAGTTGATTTCTTGACATAGTATCAGAGCTTTGCTGACCAAGAGATCACGAATTCAAATCATTGCCACCCAGTTAAAAAATTAAGTTCCACATGAATGGCTCGAGCAAAAACAAATCTTGCCTGCATGTGAGGGAAGTGTTAGAGTATAAAACACTTCCTACGCCTACAACCACAAAGCTTGAGCTTTTGGTTGAGGTTGTTCCTTGATATGATATCAAAGCCTTGTTGACCAAAAAGTCACGAGTTCAAATTGTCGCCACCCAGTTAAAAAATTAATTTTCACATGCAAGGCTCGAGCAAAAACAAATGTCGCCTGCACGTGAAGGGACATTTTAGAGTATAAAAGTATAAAACCTAAGCCTGAGGTTTTGGTTGAATTGGTTTCTAAACAGAAAGAATGTTGTGAATTGTGATGGATGGTTGAATATTTGAATGCAATCAGGAACCGAACCATGAGGATCCTCTGAATCCAGATGCTGCTGCTGTGCTGAGGGACAACCCAAAGCTGTTCGAATCGAATGTGAGAAGGGCAATGTCCGGTGGTTATGTGGGACAGACATTCTTTCCGCGGTGCATATAAAAAGATGCAGGGAGACATCTTTGCCGTGTTGCATGGTGTCATTTCTCCACACATAAGATTATGTGTAACTGGTCTTTCTCCCTTCAATTGTATTGTATGCAGGAATGAGACCATGCATATTGTATGCTTTCTTGGCTGGATTTCTTCTGGTAAAATCATGATTGTCCTTATTGAAGTAATTTGTAAGAATATGAATGTGTTGCCTTTGCTTGGAGGGATTTTCTATTATTGATCGTGACCGTCTTTTTTTCTTCATTCCTGCATTTTGTATTGCCTAGACAATATTGATTTGTAATGCAGAGTATATGTATTTCTTATGAAGTTTGGAGTATTACATATTTCATTCTCACCAAATACTTTGGTGGATCATAGGTCTATCTTCAATTTGTGGACATTATTTAATACGGAGTACTTGAACTCTTTGCAATGGTGATGGGTCTAACCAAGATTCCGATCCTACAAAATTAAAATTATGTGAGTAGGTCTCATCTTCATATCCGTGTTATAGCCATGTTGTCTTGCCACCGAAGAAACAAACCATCATCGTCTTCAAGTCTTCAACCACAAATGAAAATCTAAAATACGGAGTAGATTTTAAAAGTGCTTTTAAGCTAAGCTAAGCCTATGTGACTTTCTCCGTAGATGACTTTTTTCATTTTTTAATTGACCGTTATGACTTGATTGATATACTTTGTATTAAAAATGAATGAATGTAGACGTAAAATATGTTTATGTTAGGAGTATTAAATAGAAATGGAGGGTATACAATTTTTTTTTTAAAAATCTACCACCAACCCACAGTATATACTTCTTTCATCCTCAAATCAAAGTCATAGTTGAATTTTATCGAGTTTAATTAAAAAAAACTTGTTGGTGACAAAAGAATATGGATACAATTTATTTAGAAGAGAGAATTATTGTTAGTCAAGTAAAGAAAAAAAATTTTCTCGGTATAATTTATTTTGGAATTAATAAAAAAGACAAATATACACAATGTAATTCAATTGGTGAAGGGATTATTTTAAAAGAAACTTACCTAAATAATACTAAAAAAAGTAACTTTTTAATATTAGATGTTTTTATTTCTCAATATAGTACCATTGGCCATTCTTCATTGGTCATTTGTAAAATAATTATCAACCAGTACAACCACTATTGGACCTTATTCAAACTACTCACGGATTGTTCTCAACATAGTTTGGCCAAACGGAGAGGTATTATTTTAAGAGCATATGCAGTGGCGAGTAATTCATGTTCCTCACCCTGCCACATCATCCACTTACTTGATTCCCATGGAGAGGAATGAGCATTCCACCCTGCCGAGCGAGGCATTCATGTTCTTTTTTTTTGTTTGTTGAAGAAATAGGGTAGGCGTAGGCTATAGCATATGGATAAGAAGGAAACGGATGGATTGCTTTTCTTTTAAACAAAAATGTTTTTACTCCGTATTTTTTTGTAAGGCATTTAAATAAATTAGACAACATATTTTTAAATTTTTTAATAAAGAAAATTAAATTTTTTTATTTTTTAAATCTTTTTAAATAAGGAAAAACAATACTCCTATTTATAAATAAATGTAAATGGAAGTATTTTTATAATCAAATAAATAATTAAAATCATTTTTATTAATTAAAATACATTTAAAAAGTGCAAAAAAATAATAAATAGAGTGACTTGCCATTGCAAGGCATGCCACTCCACTCATTTACCACACGATGACTGGATTGATTTTCATTGGCTAAAATACTCCACGTCATTGTGTGGCATTCCATTTCTTACTCGTATTAAAATACTTAATGAGTACCACGGAGTATAGTGCCGTGCCGCCGTGGGGGAGCAGTTGTTGGGCCCGCAATTTCGTGGGGGAGAGAGAGCGTCATAGTTTTACCGGACAACGACGGTTGCCATTTTCACGCCGCTCATCGACACCACAACCGCCGGGGAAAATATTTACAGCTCCGTCTCTATGGAACCTAAATCTTCTGCGCTTGCCGCTCCCCTGAATCCGAAGACTCCGGATTTCCCGGCGAGTCCGGTTCCGAAGAAACGAGACTTCCTCCTCCACCTCGAAGCCTACCTATCCAAGCGAGACGGCGTCGACAAGCTGCTCAAAATCTCCCGCTACGCCGCCAAGATCGTCATCGCCTCCTCCCTCCTCCCTCCCGGTGCCCCCCTAAACCACCGTCTCAAATCCTTCGAATCCAGCGTCGGCCTCAGCCGGAAAGCATTCCGCCTCGGGAAATTCGTGCAGGACCTCAACGCCCTCCGTTCCTCCTCCTCCTCCTCCTCCTCCGCCGAGCATCTCCTCCTCTCTCTTCTCGCCTATGGGGGCGAGGGGTTATACTATTTCGTCGAACAGTTCGTCTGGCTGGGTAAATCGGGGCTGATCGACAAGAAACACCTGAATCGATTGCAGAGATTGAGCGCCTGGTGCGAGCTTATAGGCTACGTGGGCAGTGTGAGCTTGAAGGTGAGGGAATTACAGAGGATCGCCGGGGACGAGACTTGTTTGGTTTCGAGTATTGAGATAGCTGTGGTTAGGGGTATTGCCTGTGTAGAGGAGGAGGAGGAGCAGCTGAGGAAATTGAGAGAGAAGAAGTTGATGAAGAGGCTTTCAGTCTTGCAAGATTTCGCAGATGCTTTAATGGCGGTAGCAGATATTAGAGATGGCAAAGGGTTGCTTTCTGGGCAGCTGATTGTCTCCTCCGCGGGGCTTTTTTCAGCCCTCATCAGCACTCACAAGAATTGGGTTTCCTGCTGATCCCCAATCTACCATTTCCAGGTATGAGATTCTTCTTCTTTTTTTTTTTCATTGCAGACTGTTATATTGTAATTTGCAACACTTTATGACACTCATTTTAGATAATAATGGAACTTGATTTGCATATGCCATGATGTAGAGTGAGTTAGTGTTGTGTTTTTGTTTAGTAGTCTACTTGAAATTAGTTTAGATTCTGTAATTAAATGTGATTATAGTGAAACTCTTTGATCTACGGAGTATCTTGATACACATTACTTAGCATATTTACACTTGCTATACTTTGAGGAGCTTGTCATATTTAGCAAGCCAAAGTCATTTTCTGGCAAGCTTGCAAGGATATATATAGCACACTCTTTGGAGATAAATAAAAGGGCTTGGCTTGCTATATTATACTAATTTTTAACGAGTCAAAATGATATGGTTGGAGATGCTCTTAGAGCATCTTCATCCATCTCATTTGTCAATAATTATTGCAGTGGATGTGTTAAGATTTCAAACTGAAGTGTATAGATGTAAAGTTATGGTGCATAGTCCAATAAAGATGTAATTGTATGCCTCAATCTTAATGCCTTTTTATACCTTAGAGCCTATTTTGGTAAGGGTTATTTTGCTGAGATGTCTTAGTTGATTTTTTTCAAAGGGAAATCATTTTGTAACATCAATTCCGGACTCCAATTTTTAGTTACCGAACACCAGAATCGGGATTTTAGTTTTTTTAAAAGATTAATCGGGATTTTAGTTAAGTTGAAATACAATCCAAACTCCGCTCGTTGAGCTCCAGTTTTCAGACTCTAGGTTCTGGTCTCTAGACTCTTGACTCGAGACTTCAAACTCCAATTAACAACCAAGCATTATCCCACTAGGTGGGCTCGACAAAATCCAGTTAAAATTGAGACTAATTGAACATGTCCTAATTTTGATTATCTTGTTGATATGCAGAATCAGTCTACCGAATAGGGACTTTTAATATGCTGAGGAAATACCCTTTGTCCCATCAACACGTTCTAAGGCTGTTCCCTTTTCATTTCTGCCATTTTCTTATTTTCAAAGCAGGGGTGGGTGTTGCTTAGCCGATGGGCAAGGTTGGTACTTGCTAGTAAATAAACTGCAGACATTTGCTTTCTTGGGAACCATATGCATACTTATCCAATTATTCACAATTATTGATTAATTGAAAATCAAACAACTGAAAATCACATGAATTTAACTCTTAAAATGAATTATGTTTCTCCACTCCATTCAAGAACACAAGATGTGCAATGTTGATGATACATTGGTCAAGATGAACAATCCAGACCGATTGGCATGGAGTGGTGCATCTAGATATCTTATTTGTTTCGAGATTGCCTCAATAGATTTTCTCTTAACGAGGTTAACAACTTTCATATGTTCCATATTTACGTTCTTTATGCATATGCACTGCTGTCCTAATATGCTTTCACGTATATTAGTGTTCTACTCTATTTGTTTACCAGAACAGTATGATCATTGAAATGTTTCTAAATCAGAGTTAAACATAGACAGACATAGTAGGAGTATTTAAATAGGAGTTCAATTATTTCTGTAACTAAATAATGCTTCGTTCTTCTCAATTTAAATCGCCTGTTTCGGTTTACGATGTTTGGTTGAAGTTCTTTTTAATAATATTTATTTGGAAATTGGAATGGAATGACTATATTTTTTTAACGGATGACTAGCGAAAATGTGAAAAGAAAGTAATGTAGTTTGACAATGTGGATAGTAAACATGCAACTTAATTTGTGACAAATAGTACTCCGGTAGTTAATGCAATGTATCAATGTCATTGTTACCTTCAACGGAGTATTAGAGTATTTAGGTTTAAAAAGAGTTGAAGTTGTATTTACGTGCTGTGACAATGATATATTCTTATTTATGCCATATGTAACCCATATGGAGATACAATCGAAGTGTGGGTGAGCTCGAGTTTTGTCTCTTCCCGTGTTATGATACCTAATTTTGTAGGCTTGAGCCCGGTCTGACCCACATACTAAAGTCTAAGAATTAGAGTCATGGCCGGACTGACCAAAATATGAAATGCATTTTGTGGGTAATATTGTTTTCTTATTCTTTTAAGAATCATTATTAGTGTGCGAATTGAAGAGCATTATTTAAAATGCGTTCCCTTGACTAAATATCCCTCCTTCATAAATAATGTTACTAGTAGTTAAGAATTCTAAGTTCTAAGTAGCACTTAAACGGAAATCCTAACTCCGGCCTTCAAATTTGCAGGCTCCCATTATTTACGGCCCTACCTGGCCATAGATTTAAAATTTAAGCTCAAGCCTTGTTTGAATTAAATCCACATTGCAATGTTATTATGCATTACCACCGTCACTTACCCTTTGCATATATGTATATCCAACTTTAGCTTAAAATAATTAAAGTACGATAAAACAAGAAGAAGCTAATTAATAAGAAAGGTAGCCATTATTAATTGGAGGTTAGCTAGCCAAACCCGGCCGCCATTTCACTCATAACCTGGCCGCTGCCAGAACAGGGACGACGCCGCGCCCCCGTTCCCAAAGCTGCTACAACTTTCCACTCCTAGAAAGTCCAGAGTGGTCGGGCGGCGGTTTTCGCCGAACATCATTACATGAGGAGGTGATGGGTCCTTCATCATGCAATAATCCGGCGGCGGCAAACCGCCCGGCGGAGAAAAAACCATTGTTTCATTATTCTCGGCCTTTTCCGGACCTAGTCCTCCACGTACAAATGAGCCACCGGCGCCGGAGGAGAAAATTGAGCCTATCTGTGCCGCCTTCTGAAGCAGTGAGGTCGCGGACAATGCAGGCGGCTGTGCTGGCCCAGTGGTGGCCGCCGGCAGGTACGGGAGTGATGATGAGTGGCCGGCGAGATAGTTAGGAGAGTACGCATGAGCTGAGAGCGGCGGCGGTGGCGGGGCCGTACGATGCAGTTGACTTGAATACAGTGATGGTGCATGTTTATGTACCCCACCAATGATGGAAGTTGTGGCGGCGGCGGCTGTGAATAATGTACCCATCCATGCATGTGAAAGACACATATAGGCACAAAAAACAAGCCAACAATCAAAGTTAGAAGCTGAACATTCCATCCTTTCTCAATTTAATTTTTTAATTTTATTATTCATTTGATACAATAAAATAGGGTTAACACATTTTGTTTTGTGTATTTATCTCATAAAACTTTTCCACTTTAGAAAAATACTTCTTCTGTCCCATAAAGATATGGACATATTGGCTAAAGTGGTAAAATGAGGGAGATATAATTTTGTACGGAGTATTGGTTTTTAAAAAAAATCCGGATATGATGAGTAAAAATAGGATGTGATGTGTAGATTATTAGAAAAAAAGTATGATGTGATAGGTAGGGTATAAAATAGTAAGGGGTGAAAGTTGTGTTTTAAAAGAGTTGGAAAGAACTTTGGAGGACACGATTTTTTTGAAACGTGAAGGACTTTTTGGAACAAAAAGAGTATGAGATTTTAAGAATGTGTTATTTTGATGTTAATTTTCAATTTATCCCTAACTTTGTGATATAGTAGAATATGATGTGACAAGTACTAGGTAAATTAATCCTCCCTCCGTCTCAATTTAAATCGTCTGTTGTTGTTTACGAGATATGATTGAAATTATTTTCTACTTCATTTTGTTTAAAATTGATATGAAATTAAAAAATGAAATGTACATATTTAAAAATCTACAAAAAAAGAGGTGACAAGGTTATTTATTGTTTAATCAAATGAGTAGTTAAAAAAGTGAAATTTGCACTGAATAGGATTAAAACATAAGTCATTTCCTAATGTAGGACTTCAACTTTTTTATTGCTTAAATATGACTTAATAATGTCTAGTGAGAAGAGTAATGTCCAAGTGATGCTGGACATTTAGTTGAATAATGATTAATAGATAATGATCAATGATCCTTCATTGGGAAATAAAAACTTATGGTCCCATATAGAGAAAGTCATTATGTTTAATTCATATTTAGGTAAATTACCCAGATGAAATAGTATAGATATGATGAAATATTTAGGTTAATGATTAGCAGGGATAAAAAGAGATTTTAATTGAAAGTGTTTGTGAAACTTACGGAAAGTGAAAGTGGAAAAAATTTTGTGACGAAGGGAGCATATCCATATAGGAAAGGAGCTAATTGTAGTCTACAAATCAATGTAAACACTCCCTTTGTTCATAAATTTTCTTCCTATTGCGCGTTACAATAGTTGACCAAAGTTTTTTTATTTATTCAATATAAAAAATAGTGTAAAATTTAAAATTACATATTTAAAATTTATATAAAAAGTTTTGTAAAACTAGAAATGACATTAATATGACATTTTATGAAATGGACAACGTACAAAAACATGAGAAGAATATTAATAAAATTTAATCATGTACTCCCTCCGTCCCAGAAAACCTTTCTCCTTTCTTTTTCCATCCGTCCCAAAAAACACTTCTCGTTTATATTAAAAAGTCACTTTTACCCCTTATTTTTTCATACCCTACCTATCACATCATACTTTTTTACTAATAATCTATCCATCAAATCATATTTTTACCCATCACATCAAAGGACATTTTTGAAAATTCAATACCAAAATACACTCCCTTTAAATCCCTCTTCAAAATCAAAACTCACATGTTTTCCGGGACGGATGGAGTATATAGTGAATAAAAAGAAATTTGTGGACTGGCCCACCAAATAAGTACTCAAACTTACTCGAAAAATTTAATAAAAAAAATCGGGAAGAGGTCAGCATTTCTGTTTTTCTGGCTGGTAGAGATCTAATTACAAATAGAAGAATAAATTTTAAAAAGAGCAAATTCTCAAAATAGTCCTTTGCAATAAGATGTTTTCCCAAATAAGTCCTCAATAAGTTTTAATTACTTACATGGTCCTCTATAATTGAGATTTATTCCCAAGATCGTCCTTCGTAAATAATGTTACTCAAATGAGAATTAATAATGATCCTCTATAATCCAAATCATTTTAAGTATTCGATTATAAATCAGATCTTCACCTTTTAAATTATTTTGGTTTCGATTTTAAATAAGGATAAAGCTATTTATACCCCAAATTTTTGTACCCCATTTTGTACACCGCAAGTTTGCACCGACATTTTATGTTGGTGTAAAACTAATATTTGTTAACGTACCAACACTTTGTGTCCGCGTAAGTTTTTGTTAACGCACCAACACTTGTATCGATGTAACCATCAAAATGTTTGTGTATAACTGCGGTGTACAAATGAAGTATAATTTTTGGTGTAAGTATAGCACGAGCCTTTAAATAATTGAGTTCGGGTAATCATTTCAATTTTTTTTATTAGATCTATGACAAATGTAACATGGAAAGAAGAGACACCCTAGGGACAAAAGGTAAATAAACTTGCCAAGAAAGGGTTGAGTTTAAAATATCCCATAAATATATGGGGCAACTTGTAATTACCCCTAAATTTGATAACGGCTGCACTCGAGGTTAGTTCAACGTAAATCTAATAGGAAATTGTGATAACACGTTTCCCAATAAACCATGTCAAGAGCAACACATTTTATGGCATAATGGGACAAATACAAAATCACATGAAATCATCCGGTGCATATTACTTGTGAGGCTGTGACACGAGTGTCATCTCCTCATTAATTAGCTAAATAACAAGTTTATATTATATCTATATAATATATGCCTTTCAAAAATAATGTACTCGATTCACTTTGTATTTAAATCAAATTTTTTGCTTTCATTTTAAAATATGTACTTCGTTTTATTTAAATTGTGGTGTATATTGAGGATGTTTGGGATTGTGCTTAAGAACTGCTTATAAGTTTTTACTTGACTTAAATAATATTTTCCGTTTTTGCCAATCTGTTTTTATTCAGATTATGACTTTTGCAATCTAAAATGGGCTCCAAATGTGATTTTAAGCAAAATTAAAAATATTTATTTTCTATTTTGACTTAAAACTTCTGATTTTCAACAATCTACCACTGCACACTCCCAAACGTCCTCGTTGTTTCTCTCTTTTGGAAAAATCTCTATTGTATAATTTCATCCTTTCAAAACTGAAAACTCTATCAAAATTATATTGGTAAAAGAATGAACGAGATTGGTAAAAGAATGAATGAGATTTTATGAATAAATATATAAAAATGTGATAATAAGACTATTTTATTGTAAAAATGATTAAAGTAAATAGGTAAAAGAATAGTATGAATTGAACCAATTGATCGTATGAATATTGATCGAAAAACTTATTTTAGATGGGAGAGAGTTTAATACTCCATCTATCCCAAATAAATTTTATGGGTAAATTTCTTTTTATAGAAGAAAACCAAATTATTTGAGTGACACATTTTTTTTTCTAAAAGAAAATATAGAAAGTATAACTATATACTCCATACAATGTTTATTTTGAGACGCAAAATGAAAGTATATATAGGTATTCCTTCGGTCCCAAAAATTTCGTCCAATTTAGGATACCGAGGCTTCACTAATTTTATCGATATAATCTATTTAAATAATGGTATGACTCAAAATTTTAAAATAAAATTTTCTATTTTTATTAAAATTACATGAAATGTTCT